AGGAAAGATCTTCTTCAGTGTTTTGGCGAGAAGGCTATCTACCTTCCTGCAAAGAAACAACTATATTGACACATCAGTGCAGAGGCTTCTCGGGATGTCTGGAGCATGCCAGCGTCGTCTGGCACCAGATTCAAACTGCCAAGAAAGAACGAAGAGACCTTTATGTGGTCTTTTTAGACCTAGCCAACGCCTTTGGGTCAGTTCCACACAAGATCTTGTGGATGGCCTTCAACTATTTCAGCGTACCAAACCACATCACAGGACTGGTCAAGACCTACTTACAGTTTTGTGTGACAGCTGAGAACACCACCACAGCCTGGCAGCACCTGGAAATTGGAGTAATGGCACGCTGCACAATTTCCCCTCTGGCAGTTATCATGGCAATGAAGTTGGTCATGCGGTCATAGTGGGAGGTGAGAGACTCAAGAGTGGCCTTCATCTTCCTCCCATCAGGGTCTACATGGACATGACCATCATTACAACAACAAAACCATGTACTAGGCGATTGCTACAGAAGCTTCAGGAAAACATAGAATGGGCAAGAATGGAGTTTAAGCCAAGTAAATCTCACAGCATCTCCATCATAAAAGGAAAACTGACAGTCGAGCAATTCTATATCAGTGGAGAACCAATTCCAACAGTCTTAGAGAAGCCCCATAAAGAGCCAGGGATGGTGGTATAATGCAGACCTCAATGATACGTGGCACCTAGAACAACTAAGGCAGAACTTGGCTGATGACCTTCAGCAGATTAACAACACTGCACTCCCAGGGAAACTGAAGCTCTGGTGCTTCCAGTTTGGATTATTACCCAGACTTCTGTGGCCATTGAAAATGTACGAGGTCTCACTCAATCATGCCAATCGACTAGAGAGGCTAGTGAGCTCCTACGTTAAGAAGTGGCTTGGACTTCCCAAGTGCCTCAGCAGCATTGGAGTCTACAGCAATACTGTCATTGCCTAACCCTAGCCTGGTTGAGGAGTTTAAATGTGCAAAAGTGAGGCTTGAGATGTCACTCACGGACTCCTGGGACCCCATAGTGAGAGGCACTGCTCCCACCCTAGCAACGTGGATGAAGTGGACCCCAGCCACATCTGTGCTACAGGCGAAAGCCGCTCTTCAGCATTGTGACATGGTGGGTCACGTCCAACAGGGTAGAGGAGGATTTGGTCTTGGCGCAGTAACACCTCGGTGGCAACAGGCATCTGTAACCGAACCTCGGAAAATGGTAGTGGAGGAGGTGCGTCGACAGGAGGAAACAGCCAGACATGCCAGAGCTGTGGCACTGGCCAAGCAGGGTTGCTGGATGAATTAGGAGAGTGTGGAAAAGAGGATACTCTCACGGAGTGAAATCTGGGGCATGGAATCTAATAGACTAAGTTTCATCATCCGAGCGACATACAATGTGCTACCTTCACCAATAAATCTGCAGCTGTGGTTTGGAAAGGACCCATCCTGCCCCCTGTGTACAGTCCCAGCAACACTCAAGCACATCTTGGTTGTAGGACTAGCCTTACTCAGGGCAGATACACATGGAGACAACCAGGTTCTCAGGTGTCTAGCCGAGAAAGTTGAGTGCAAAAGAAAATCCATTAACGCTCAACCTTTCACGAACCAAGAGGAGCATCAGTTTTCATCAACATTTGTCCGGGAAGGAGACAAGCTGAGGACAAGACCCTCAAACCCAGACCTGGGCCCGCTGAAGGCCGCCAGGGATTGGCAGATGCAAGCGGACTTGGATCAGAGGCAAATTTTTCCCACAGAGATCGTAACAACTACTCTGCGACCAGACCTCGTTCTTTGGTCTAACTCCCAAAAACTTGCGTACATCATTGAGCTGACGATACCATGGGAGGAAACAATTGAGGAAGCATTTGAGTGTAAGAAGCTACGCTATGCCAACTTGGCAGCTGAGGCAGAAAACAGAGGCTGGAAGATCAAGGTGCACCCAGTGGAAGTGGGGTGCAGGGGCTTTGTTGCCAACACAACAGCAAAACTGCTTAGAGAGATTGGGATCAGAGGACAGGCGCAACGGCAGGTTATAAGAGAACTAGCTAACACTGCTGAGAGGACCAGTCACTGGCTATGGCTAAAAAGGGCTGACATCACTTGGGCAGTTAAGGCAATCAGCTAACCACGAGAGAAAAGAAATAATCCCCTCTTCTTTCCTTTTCTGGGAGGCAGTGGGGAGGTAGAGCATACCTTCCGCCTCTCCTCTTTGCTCTCTCCTATCTTGTCCCTTTTGTCTTACTTCTCTCTATCACCTTTTCTATCCCTTTGAAGAAGTTAGGCTCCATAAATGCTAAAGAGGTAAGTATTATTTCTCAGTTGCAGTAGATAGAAATAGGAAATAAACTGTAGGAAACCAAAACAGAAGAAAGAAGAAGAGAAATAACAATTTGACATAAACCAGTGACATGCTCCAGGGCCTGATCAACCCTGGCAGGGCCTCCTTGGGTGAGGGTGTCTAGTGATAATGGCCAAAACTATAATGATAATCCAAGGTCCACTACTGATGATGTGTCCCAAATTTAAAATGATAATCTAGATCCATCTCTAATCCCTAAACCTAACCAAGGAAGGAAAATGGCAGATTAGCCTGGGTAAAAGACTGAAAGTTGAGGCTCACAACAATGTGTGCTACTGGCAGTTTTTGGGCTGCCTTTCCTCATAACAGCCATCCCTCAAGAGTCTCTCCATCTAAAGCAATGCATTATCAGGGACTGTAACATCTAGTCCTTTTAACTGAATAATAATAAACGCGAATTCATTGTGTAACTGTGTAATTTTATTAGCAGCGTCCTCCTGAAATGCACCAACAACATTGACAGTAACATCCTCCTAATGTCTCTGTAAAGCACTTTGAATCACCTTGTTGTTGAATTGTGCTATACAAATAAACTTGCCTTGCATTGCCTTGCCTCTCTGCCCCTTAATGCTCTCTGGTCGCTATGCTAATGCGTAAATATTTCTTTCAAAATAAGACACACAAATACAATATGGGAAAGGACCCAGGGAAACCAAATTACGATAAAAACTCTGAAAACCATAAATTTCACAACCAAACCTCAACTCTCGTGGCTCGGTACCAAATGACTCATGGACCGGTACTGGTGTCCTGCAGGTTTTAGATGTGTCCTTGATCCAACACAGCTGATTTAAATGGCTAAATAACCTCCTCAATATGTCTTGAATTTCTCCAGAGGCCTCAATGAACTAATCATTTGATTCAGGTGTGTCTACCCAGGGTGAGATCTAAAACCTGCAGGACACCAGCCCTTGAACCTGGAATTCCCCACCCCTGGTCTAAACTTAAAGTTTAAATGCTACAAGCAGCTGCTTTGCGGTCTATAATGATAACAAGTAAACTCATCCTCTGTGGTGAGTAGTCAATGATGTGGGGACAATTCTCTGTAAAGTTTTCATGCTTCTCCATTTTTTACTTCTATCACATAACTTTATTAAAACCTAATAAACGGCTTGTTAAAAATTAAGACAGTTGCAACATTTTGAATTTAAGGGCCTCACTAAAGGTACTACAGTGATAGTAATAAATGAGATAAAATTGACATCATTTGTCAGAATGGACAAATGATGTCACTGTGGCTACATCCATCTTTCATAAACAGCAGTCAATAAGCAGGTAATTGGAAAAATTAGAACTTCCACCCATCCTTTCATCCATTCATCCATCTATTACTTACTCACTTGTCCAGCAAGGGGCACGGTGGAGCTGTGTTGCTGCAGCAACACTGAGAACTACGTTTTGTCCTAGTAAAAAAATAAATTCAAGCATTTTTTAAGGAGGCTTTGTAACATCTTCAAACTGTGACTAAGATTGCTGACAAAGAATTGCATTTATTTGCACCTTTCTGGCATTAAATGTCTGCAGACTAGTTGTATTTATAGAGTAGGTTTTTTTTTATATCACTGCTAAGAAATGCATCAGCTGTGCTACAGTCTGTTAAAAACACATTCAAACTTTAGGTATGTGTATATTCCTCAAGGGTACTGCACATTGGAGGGCTCTGCAGTGTAAATGACTGGGCAAAGAAATGTGAAACGACCCACCTCTGTGACAGCTGAAAAACTGCGTGCGTGTGTGCACGCACGTGTGTCTGTCTGCCGGCAGCTCTGTGGCCCAAAGATACTATGCAATGTTGCCAGGCGACAGGTACCAATTGTGTCGCGTTTCCGTGGAGACATTAGGGAGGGTGGGGCTTTGATGAGAAGAACACAGTGTTTTCTGCCTTGCCTACACATGCACAAATGCACACAAATGCGCGCACACACACACAAACACACATAAAACTATGGATTTTATGAGACGGATTGCAGCAAAGGAATTGAATGCTTGCAGAACTACTCACACAACTGACAACATAAGCAATGGAAGCTTGCACACATGACAACACATAAACAGTGAAAGTGACATGAATTCTGTGGGTACATAATCATTGACAGAGAGAACATCATCAAGACTACTGTCAGGATGAGCAAGTACAACCCAGTGTTGACCTGCAATAGAGCTCTTCTGCTATTCAGAGGTAACATCAGTTATTATCTATGTGGGGATTCAGAAAAACTTAAGGAATTACCCCATCAACATGTAATGTTTGGCTAATTATTATTTTAACTTTAATTAGTCTTATCATATGAATTTAACTAGGTGTCCTTTCCTACATGACACCTTATGAGTACTAGTTCTGGCAGAAACAGGCTCAGAGATGGACAGCCACCTGCCACGACCAGTTAGGGGTGAGGGGAGGGAGACAGGACAAAAGACACACTGTGGAACAGAGCCCGAGACAACAAGAGCCTGAAACTGAAGGCTCTGCCTCCCATTCTACTTTGAAATATCTGAGGAACTACAAAGCAGCCAACGGTCTGAGAGCAAAGTGCTCTACAGGGGCGAAACTGTACTATGAGGTCTTTTAGCTAAGACTTCATAGATAAGACCTGATCATTTTAAACTGTGTATGTGAGGAGAAAGATTTTAATTTCAATTCTGGATTTAACAGGTAGCCAATGAAGAGAAGCCAATATAGGAAAAATATGTTCCCTCTTTCTAGTTACTGTATACACAGAATTTTTGAAATTAGACAGCCACTCTAAGGAAACAGGACTGAAACACCAGATGCAGCTAATGATTTCAGTTTGCCAGTGAACTAGATAAATAGTCTAGTTCAGGAAGTGGTTGGTGGATGCTTTCTGTGGGTTTGTAATCTTTGGAGTGGATTACAGAGAAATGAAACTGGATAATGTACTCTGTCTGCTTCACATTCATGCAAAGAGATACAAATGCAAATCAGTGAGTCCTGCCAAACTAGTTTAATCATAGATCTTGGAATGGAACTAATGATCAAGCTTTCCTTCCTGGCTAATACTGACTGTCTGTTTACTGCGTGTATATATGTAAGTGCAATGGTCAGCGTGTGTG